AACATTCACCTCAAAAGAAACACCTATTCTTGGGCTGGGGATTTAGCTCAGTGGTTCCGCCGCCTGCTTCGCAAGCTCAAGGACCCGAGTTCGATCCCCAGTACCAAAAAAAAAAAAAAAGGAAAGAAAGACCTATTCTTTTTATCTATGGGGATCTAAAGCAACAACGTGCATCGTGCATATCTTGGAAATTTACTTTGGATCTTTATTTCAACATAATGGTTGTATGCAAGTAAATATAATGATTTAGGGCAAAAGAAACCAAAAAGTTCTACAAAGAGTGTTATAATTATTCATACCACAGGTATATCTTAGAATGGGAGTTATTCTGTCAGTTAATCAACAAGCTAATCTCTCAAAAGACAGATACTTGATTTTAACAGCAAATTCTATAGGCATGGGGAAACATTGCTTAACAAGTAGAAGGACTCAGTTATGGCTAAAAAATAGATAAAGGGAAAAATATAGACAAATATCACACTTTTAGAAGCAACAGGAAATATTATGATCTTATAGAATAGATTAGAAAAATCTCAGTATTTGTCAGTTATGGAAACAAACTGCTATGTCATTAAACAGAAATATATATGTTTATATTCATACATATATATATTTTTTATTTTTGCTGTGCACAATCATTTTCTTTATTGCTTTATTATTTTACCTCTATACAGAAGTCTATCAATAGACTATTGCAATAACCTGTTCCAATATCCCCAAATGCATGAAAATAAAGACTTTCACTTGGGTTATATTACAACCACAGCAAAGTCCTACAAAATATGTCTTTTTTATATTCCATCCTCAGAACACATGTGGACTATCAAATGATATACTAGCACCTGTTTGAAGTTTGCAATGATAATAGTAAAAGTCAAAGTATGCTTAATGTTATGGCTTGTGTCTAAATGTCCCCCCAAAGCCTCATGCGGTCCTAAGTAGGGCTTTACAGAGGTGGCTGGAACTAGTGCATGATGCCTAGATCAAGGGTGTGTGATTATAAATTAATCCACTGATTGGTTTGCCATAGTTTTGGGTCTAGATAATGGAAAGAGCCACCCTGGGTGTGAGTGTTACCCACCCTAAGGGCATGTAGTCTGGATAGAATAATAAGGAACAGAAAGAGAATCTTTCTCTCTCTCTCTCTCTCTCTCTCTCTCTCTCTCTCTCTCCTCTCTTTCCTTCTCCCTCTCCCTCTCTCTCACGCTTTGCCACTTTTCTTCTTGCTGCCTTCTGTTTTGCTGCCCTCTGCCCATCATAAATTGTTTTTGCTCTGCGATGCCCCTCTGCCATGCCACCCTGCCTTGGAGCCAGCCAACTATAAACTGAAATCTCTACAAATTGTGAGCTATATAAACTTTTCCTCTGTTAACTATAGGTGTCAGGTATTTTGTCTCAGCAAGGAGAAAAGTAACTAAGACACTTAACTTTAAGTAGCCCATTAAAATTCAAACAATATTGAAACTTCAACAATGGAAAATTATATAGTACCTGCCTTTCATCTTCAGAGAATACATTAAAGACCCCAGTGAATGCTTGAAATCTCCAATAATACTGAATCCCATGCACACTGTGCTTTTTTCTACATATATAAATATATAGAGAGAGAAGTTTAACTCAGAAATTAGGCACAAAAGGAATTGACAATAATTATTAATGAAACACAACAGTTGTAACAATGCACTGCAATAAGCTATGCAAATATGCTCTCTCTCAATATTTTATTGCATTGTCCCACCCTTTTTTCTTTTGTGATTACATGAGATGATACAATGTCTGCATGAGAAGATGAAGTGAGTCAAAAGACATAGGCATTATGAAATAGCATTAGGCTACTACCCAAGGGTGACTTATACACAAGTACTGCCATACCCTGACAGGTAATCTGATAACCAAGATGACTTCTAAGTGACTCATGGGCAGGTACTGAATATGATGTCGATACACTGGCCAAACAAATGATTCATGTCACAGGTGGGACAACATGAAACTTCATCATGCAACTCACAAAGTTGTGCAAGTTAAAATTTATGAATTATGCAGTTCTAAAACTTTCCATTTGATATCTTAAAGCATGCTGACTGAAACTTTGAAAAGTAAAACTATGGGTAAATTAGAACTATAATATAAAGGCAAAGACATATTTGTTTCCATTATATTGCCAGGACTGGCAGTGATTGTTTTTTGTTTGCGTTGTTTAGAATATTGGATTTTACTTCTCTGAGCCATAAAATCTTTCAAGTTCAAATTAATGTGCATTTTTCCAGTGCAAAAGAAGTAAATTATTTGTTCATAAAATTATTTAAGTTAAACACTCCTCTGGAGTGTTATTTAATGAAAAAGAAGCCATTTACTTAGTGGCACATATACTAGTTTCCTACAGCTGCTATAACAAAGTATCAGAAATTGGGCAGTTTAAAAGAACAGAGAATTATTCTCTCACAGCTCCAGAGGCTAGGTGTTGAAATCCAGGTGCTGGTCATTCTCTCAGTGGGCTTAAGAGACAAGTCCTTTCTTGCCTCCTCTCAGCAGCTGGTAGTTGCTGTCAAACCTTGGCATGTTTTGGTTTACAGCTGCATTTCTCTGATTTCTACTTCCATCTTCATATTCCCTTCTCTCTGTCTCTGTGGCTCTCAAAATGTCACTTTTTATAAAGATACCAGTCATTGGTCTTAAGGTCATCCTTATCTGTTATAACCTCACTTCACTTGATTGCATCACATATGACCCTAAATCTAGATGAGGTCACATCCATGGGTCTCAGGATAGGATTTAAATGTATCCTTTTTGAGGATATGGTTCAACCCACAATAGCACTCATGGAAATATCAAATTAGTATAAATTAGTATAACTCAAAAATGTAAGTTTTTCTTGCTCTCTGTTGATTGAAATGGAATCATTCTTTCAAACAGTAGCCTTTTCCTGCTTCCCTTCCCCTAGTCCAGAGGGCCTATCATTTTATCAGGGTAATTCCTGGCACTTCCTATCCACAGTTGTCAAACAAATGGGTTGTTTTTCCTACCCTATCTGTCCATCCTTTGCCAATTTTCCTGACCTCAGGAAAGAAGTTACTCCCTACTGGGATAGTGAGACCTTTAGTTGTTGGTTTAGATTATTAAACATGACCTAGTGACTTGGCTGGACACCTTTCCATTCCAAAATACTACAAGGAATGTTTCAATACTAAAAGTAATATATAGCCTTTAATAATAAATCACTCAAAATCTGATATTCCTTTATGAGCACTTCGTGTAATTAATAGGAAAAAAAGAAAAACTAAATAAAAAAGAAAAATGTAATCAAGTAGGTTGACAACCAGGAAAAGATAATTAAAATGATCCTGTTTTGTTTCTCAGTTTCATTAACATGCAAATGAGATTCATGAAGTTTGATATTGTGTTTCAGCAAGAGCCACAGAAACAAATTAAGAATGAAAATGAGTCCCACTGATGGAGACTCTTGATGAGTACATAAATTAATGAAAAATACGATTGGATCCAATTAATAAAATATATTTTTTCTGATTTATTGGACCTTGACAAACGAAATAAAGACACATAAATAAATTTTGATTTTTTTTTGGTGGGCCACATTCTATAAAAGCTATCATAAATCACATGAAGCAGTGGTGACTGTTAAACTTTGCTTTATTTTAAAGAAGAATACAGAATGCAGACTTCACTCTCAGATCATGGCTGTGATACTAGCATGCCTGTTGGGAGAGCCATGGCCACAGAATCTGGAGTAGCCCTAAGGGGACTAAGGAAGTTCACCTGCCTGGTCCTTCAGGGACTCCGAACTGGAGATAGAAAAACACTGTTCTATGTGACCAACAATTGCCACTACAAGACACTTAATAGGAACACAAACACATTCAAGTGTCGTCATGTTTCCCATTTGATATCTTCACACCCACAAGCAAAAATAAGTGTGTATATCAAATAATATGAGATAAAATTTCAAAATAAACAAACTTAAGATCATGTAAAAATGTTATACAAACATCTGTATTGCAATTATAAGTGTATTTTATATTATGTATAACGTGTACCAGATGGCAAGACATAACACACGCTCTCTCTCTCTCTCTCCTTGTTACATTCAAAGTTAAACATGCTTAAACATTAAGCAACAGAACCAAGGTAACATCAAGGACAAATTTAATGGAAAGGCTAACTAACTTGGCATGAAAGAAAGAGGTACTAGATGAGAGAAATGTGTGCTTAATAATACGTGATTCTGGCATCTATTTTTATGGCTGTTACAAATATTCTCTATGTTAGTATCACCAAGCCTCTTTCCTTCAATGTCTGCGCAGATGATTTTTACCTTAGCATGTTATGAAAAGTGATTACTATAATACTCTGCTACTAAAAACACAATGTTTTGAAGCTCTCTCTTATTTCTACAGCAAGTGGTATTTAATTATCCCTCTTTTCTTTTAAACATATTCAAGATGTCAAACCCAACCTAACTAAGAGATAGTAAACAATATAAACTGAGAATTCCTAAAGGAATATGAAAGCTTTATGAAGTTTCTATTCCTCAACAGCAAAGAAAATCATGTCAACCACATTGAGAATTAAACAAACTGAGGGATTATTATTTTAAACAATTAGCATCTTTTAAAATTACATCTCATAAACTTCTTTAACTTGAAATAGAAAGCCAATTAAGTTTTCATCAATATTATATCAATAATGATTGCACACTAATGTAAAAAATGTATTTTATTAGATGCATAAAAGGCTTCCCAGATTGAAGGAAATCAGTTCTTTGGATGTTGAAATGATTATATTAGATTTTCAAATAAGAGATGTCCCTTTGCTAGTCCAGAATGGAGGCTAGATGTCATGTATATCTCACAAGTTTCAACCATTGTTTTATTTAATAATGTACTTGTTTTTACAATATATCCTTTACAATGATTTTTATTGAAACAGAATGGAAAATTAATGAGATTTACCATCAACCAAACAGACGAAAAAGACAGACTCACCATCTCTTCTATTCAGCCTGGCAAAGCCAGGACCGTGACTGCTGGAGAGCTCAGAAGAACTGCTGAAGGACGCCTGAGGCAAAGCGGATACAAGAGGATCATCACAGTCATCTGCCAGGGAAATGGCACATTTGGGTTAGTACAGCACTGCCAGCTCTTTTGGAATCAACAGAAGCAAAAAATAAACAAATAAAGTATCAAAAACTAGGATCTAGGCTCTCTAGGATACTCTACAGATGGTCTAGTAAGTTCAGTAAGAAATAAAACTTACAGACAGGAAGATATGGAGATAGAGAATAAAAATGACATAGAAGTTACAAAATTATATCTTATGATGCAAACTGTTTATTTAAACAAGTCACAAAAATCATCATAAATGAAAAGATGTATATACATAAATTTAAATATATTATCATTAAGAATCTAAGATTTCTGAAAGATGTAAAATAAAAATTCACAAAATGTATAAAGTACATAAAACATACATGAAACATGAATGTGAAAAGATGACAGTTTATAAAAATATATGGAAGTTTGAAGAACATACACAAGAAACATCAAAGTCATATAAGAAGCATATGAATCAGTATAAAATCAGTTTTCCAAATAAAAACATAAACCACCTTAATCCAGTTAAGAAACAGACTAAAAAAAATGGTACAAGGCTGGACCAGAGACTTCACGGCACAGAACTTAATTATAAGTTGATACTGAAACTTAGTAAAAGGAAATGTAAATCAGGACTACAATTGGATACTATTTTTCAGATAGTCAATTAGCAAAATGTAAGAAGTCAATCGAGAGAATGGGTCCAGTGAAACTCTAACACATTGCTTGTTGGAGCATAAACACAAGTGACTACTTACAAAAAACAATTTGTAATTAGCTTATACATTTGAACTTTTGCATAGCCCAGGTTCCACCAGTTTTGTTGAGAAATAGGTCCTTCTGGACAGGACCTGTCCATTGTGAACCAAGGACTCAAGGAGCTTTGATTTCTTACCCACAGGTGTTGTACCTCAACTACTATTTTATGTGTGTGTGCATGTGTGAATGTGTGTGGGCATTTCTGCATCTCCAGTAAAAAGAAAAAAGTTGCAAAGCACTGAGTTTCAAAAGCCAGCATTTCTGCATCCAGAGATATGTACAACTTTGCTAATAAAAAAAAATTTCATTAACCACCCATAACCCAATGGCCAAACATCAGATAAATAAATCATACTACTGTTAACAGTAAAATAATATACAGCAGTAAAAAGGAACTAAAGCAATACTAAACAAAAAGGTTGGATCTTAGGAACAAAATTTCTGGTGAAAATAACTGAGTTATAGAAGACCATATAATATATGTGAATACTTTTGAGAATCTTAAAAAGCAAAGCTAAGTAATATGTTACTTGGAAACATGACTTTAAAAAAGCTATCTTAAGAAAAATATGAAAATCAAAATTGAGGACTGTGTTTACTTTTAGAGGAAGGCAAAATGAAGGTAAGAGGAGAGTATATAGATTCATGAGATGGAATTGGTAATGCTTTAATTTTTAGTATAGATGGACTACTCAATTTTGTATTCGATTATGATGCTTCACATGTATATATATACAAACATACACAAACAAAAGTATACATCAATATGTATATAAAGTTATATAGTAAAGTATATATATTTTATATCTATCCTTTTGTCAAATATATTGTTTTTAATAAAGTACAAGGAGAGGGGAAGTATAATAATTAATTTCATGTTTACCATATATCCATATACAATTTATTTAGCTAATTCTACATAATCTATATAATCATTTTATATAACCTTTAAAGTACTTGTCCTAAGATGTTACAATTTTTACTCCAATCAGAAAAAATATTCTCATATTTAATTTAGCATATATTGGTAAGTAAAAATCATATAGGATTATTGTCCCAAATGTTTTAACTGATGGTAAGCAATTTAACATTTTAAATTAATCCAAAAACTACCTAGATTCACCCGAGATTTTATGAAGCTCCATCTGCCTGAACATAATTTGTTCTTGAATGCCTTTCATAAGAAGTTGCCTAAATAGTATTTTGTTTTTAAGATTGTCTTATTGTTTAGAGTCCACTTTTTCTTCTTTTGTACCTTAAATTCTTTAGCTAACTTTTTAAAAAGACAGTTTCTGCATGTCTATTGATTGGCTTAAGTACTAACACAAGCCAATCTACTTGTAATTCAAGTATTAAGGAGTATATACATAAAAAGACATTCAATCCATAGAGTGTTGAAAAGAATTCTGATTATACCCAATTAGACAAGCAACAGCAAAAATCTGTTTATATATTGTGAAAACTGTGTGTATGTTACACACACAAATGAGTGTATTCCACATGCATGGGAAAGTACATGTATGTGTTGTGCATGTTCACTAGAACAGCAGTGAATTTTGGATCTTTACCAATATGCAGGTGTGTGATGAAAAAGGGTATTTAACTGAATTTCACAATCAATTATGCAGATTCCAATCGATATTTTGAATGTAAAATGCCTCTCTGGTGCAATCAGTCTAGAGGGCATATATTTATTGCCCATTTGTTTTTGCCAACTATAAACTGAGAATCAATACTGTTCCACTTTTAGCTTTAAAAGAATGGAATTAAAATGAGAGAAGGGGTACTTTTTCCACTTGATGGGAGAGGGACATGTAGTGTGAGAAATGGATCATAGAAAGGCAGTTAGGGGACTTCTGATGTTTGGTAAAGCTCCAGTTGGCCTTGATGATTACATGGCATTATTCTTTACTATGAGCTTATATTCTTCCATGTGTTTCTTTAGCAATAAAACAGCTTAGTGCTCATGTAATTGTTAATTACTAACACATGATTAGTGAGCGCTTTGTACTAAAAATTTATAATCATGTCACTTGTGCTAATTAATCTTGACCTCTCCTCACTGAGTAACTAATATTATTATCTTATAGATGAGGTCATTTTGGCATAGAACTTGCATCCTTTGCTTATCTCACTCTGGAAGAACCATGATATTTACAAACCAAGTTGAGGTCCAGAATCTAGAATGTAAGAACACTATGACTATAATTATCATCCCTCAGGTCTGGGGAGTAAGAGTTTCATCAGACACTATAATAACATGAATTAAACCTCTCTCAAGGACTGAGTACTCCATTTCCAGGTTCCAGTTCCAAGTTATCCAATCTGAGGAAGATATTTCTGCTCAGAGAGATCCCTCACCCCTGACATTTAACAATACCTAGAGACACATTGGTCACCACTACTAGGGGCAGGGTACCACCAGCTTCTAGTACCTTGAAGACAGAGATGCCACTAAACATCCTACAATGCACAGAACAGCCCTCTATAATGAATATTTACCTGGTCCCAAATGTCAATAGTGATGAGGTTGAGAAACACTATTCTAGACTCTGGTAAAAGCAACCCAAAAACTAGTCTTCTGCTAGTGATCTCTCAGCTAGAATTCCTCAGCTTCCTCTTACATTTCAGTAACTGTTAGTTTGAATTTACAGCTTTTCACATGCAAATAAAAATTCTTCAGAGTAATGAGCTTTTGAAATCTGAAATACTGTAATGTGCTATTTTAACTCAAGACTAATTGCATTTTTAAAATTAGGTACCAGATCATAAATTAGGTACCCTGTCCCTTTACCACTGGACCACAGAAAGCATTCATGGTCAAAAGAAGCACAGGGGGCAGGAAGGCTGCATTAACTGGTGAAATGTAATAATAATATAGTCGCCAAACATTTTGTAGAAGCTTGTGCAATTCAAAATGGTAGCAGAGCACATTGGGTTAATTGTTGTTTTCTCTTAATAGAGAAAGGGATGAACAACACTCATTACTCTATGCTTTTCCAAAATTATATTACATTATTTGACTTTTTCACAGTCAAATTAGAATTTCCACTTAACCTTGGAAATAATAAAACTATAACTTTTAGTCTTTTTGGTTTAAAAAAAAATTCTGATTACACTAGAGAGTTTTAATGAATTCTGTTAGACTATTCGTATTAGGGAGAAAAATTACCTAACTTCAGGTATACACATAACACACATACACACAAAGATACACAAGTCCATGGCTTTCAGGTCAATAACTCAAAAAGTCACTACTTAGTCTTGACATAAGTGAAAAACTTAACTATTGTCATTAAAAAGACAGGGATAAATTAGATCTCTGGCAAGTTGTATGTACAAAAACACTCAATAGCCTCTTACAAATAAAGACACAAACTATATTGAAAGTATTTTAATATAGCTCAATAAAAAGTAATTTAATTTCACTTTACAAAAGGTTTTAATGAATAATTCTCATAAGTAAGTAAAAGCTGTTCAGTTTTTAATAAAAGTAATTTAATTTTCATAAGCGGTGTGTAATATTACCTACACCAAGATAATAGGTGGATATTATTGGGTACTTGCTTTTCAATGCACTACATCTATTAACTCATTTTGTCCTGACAAATAACCTACGCTATTTGCTACTATTTATTCCTGGGAAAACCGAGGAAGAAGGGACACAGTATGTTTAATAACTTACCCATGGACACATTACTGTAGGAAAAACAACATTAGAACCCAGGCCATACAGTACCAGATCTTCTATTTAGAGCCAATGCATTGCTGAAATAAGTATTTGGTAACCTAAATTATATTTGACCAAATGGTAGGGTTGATTTTTCAGGAACAGTCAGCTTAGCTGTCCCTGAATAACCACCATCTCTGTTAATTTGAGATCCTGTCAAATCAATTGCATGTCTGCTAATGAATCATAGTTCTCAATGAATATGCATTAGATGATAGGAGAGGAGAGGAAGGGAAGATATTTAAAATCTTCTAAAATTCTCATACACCAGAGGCAGGGTGGGACCTTTGACAGTGAGATTTGGAAACACCAAAATTTCATTACTTTCAGAAAAGTTTTATTTAGATCCAGTCCAAATATCATGAAGCAACAGAGTTAGTACTAAAGAATGGCTTTCCTTTCACAAAATCTATTTCCTTGAACAAAATGTTTAGTCCAGATTATATTATTGAAAATTTCACCTAAATGAAATTTGAAATCATCAACTAATTTAAAAGATAAAGTATGGAATTAT